GGAGATATCGTTGCTATTTAAGCATTCACGTCTGCTTTATGATTGCAGGATGATAGTCATGGTCATAGCAACCTAGCGGAAAAGCTACATACGAACTAGTAGCGCATAACTATGAATGTCTGAAAGTCAACCGATTTTCACCAAATTTTGTACATGGGAGTTGGTGGGGTTATAACACGATTATCATTAACATCATATTCATGATGGTATCGACATATGCATTCAAGAAAATGGACGGAATTTCGAACAGTTAATTCGCTAAGTGTACTAGTTAGCGAATTAACTGTTTGAAGTTACAAATTAACTAAATAAAGCACCCCGATAATGAGAGGCAAGGGGACTCACGTAAATAAAGCACCCCGATAGTGAGAGGCAAGGGGACTCACGTAAATAAAGCATCCCAAAGGGAACACAAAACTACCACGTCCACGCCGTTGTTCCTGGGTAGTGCTAAGAGTAGTAATTTCTATTAATTTTGGCTAAAAATTTCGTTCGCCATCTTGGTCCGCCATCTTAGATCCGCCATTTTGAATTTTGCAAATCTGACTTCAGATTTGTGATCAGCAACCCCAAAAACCCCTCGTAAACTTAATTTGGTGCAAATCGATTGACTAAAATTTTTGTTCGCCATCTTTGTTCGCCATCTTGAAAATTTTAAAACAGCCAAGGTTATATCTGAACGTAAAATTTTCCGCTTTTTCATTTTCCGGTGTTAAAAAGGGGGGTTTCCATTTTAAAAAAAACCACTTCCGGTTGAAGTAACCCACTTTCGGTCAAAATCAAAAGTTGAAAGGTACGCTATTTTGGTTCCCCCTCGAAACCCTACAACTTTTATATGAAACTTTTTTCGATTCCTGGTCACATAAACGAGTTATTGAAGGTGATAGATTCAGATGACTCACCCTGTATATAATAATAGACTTCATCACACTTATAAACGTGCAGGATTTTTGCTAATGTTGGTAATTGTTTATTCAAGTAAAATTCATGCACTTTCATTCGAATGGCATTTTTAACACATTCGTCGACTTTTTCTTTAAACGATGGGCGATATTTGTTTTTATTTGAAGATCGAACTTTATCCATACGCTTATACTCCTGCAATATTCTTCTTATACTGCTAACACCAATTCCTGTCTGTTTTGCCAATTCTTTCACAACATCTCGTTGCAACAGTGTTGGATTTTTCTTTTTCAGATATTTGTACACACATTAATAACTAGAATCTTCTGCTTACTATGGATCATCTGGAAGTATACACGCAAGAAAAACATTTCAAAACAAAGCAGTAACGAATTTTGCATAAATTAGTTTTAGTATTTTTGTCTATCCCGTTATTCATTAAGCAAAATAATTACAAACGACTCTCTAACCTTTAAATTTCCGATATGCATTAATTTTGTAGAGAAACGATTCAAACATCAAAAAACAGAAACAATCAATCATTATTATCATTCATATGTATTCATCATTGTTTACCTGTCCTCGTTTGTTTTTTCTCGTAGGCGACAATTCTACTAGGTTTTCTTCCATATTGTCTTCCGTTATACGATAACTTACGATGTCAACGATAATTGCACTCAAACAATTCTTTTCTTTTTGTAATTATTGGACTCGAACATTCGCCCATACACCACTCTGCTAACCTGCACGAACAATACAGCGCTGAGGAGCGGGAGGCTTTCTCCGCGTCCCGTCGAAGGGGCGATACGCAGAACGGACGAATTTGCGTCGGTCCGCGGACCTTTCTCTCATTGAAAAAACTATAGGAATAAAAATTAGAAATAGAAGTTAAATGTACTATACAATGACAAAAAATAAAATATAACATATAAATACAGAAAGTATGTCATGGCTGCATGATATACAGTCTCTATTTATATACATTTATGTTATATTTTATTTTTTCGTATTGTACATTACATTTAACCTCTATTTTTAATTTCTATTCTTAATATTTTCTTTATTGTGCTCAGGCCCTAAGAATTTTAATAATAGATAATAAAAGTAATAATTTTAACAATAAGATATTTGAAATAAGAAAAATGTTTAAAAAGGTGTAAATAAGCTTTTTCTTGAAAATTTGTAAATGCTATAAATGTAAATTTAAAAACATATTGCTATATTCATATTGCTATATTAAAGCTGTATAATTTTTCTATACTTTCATATTACAGCATGTACAAATTTTAAAAAAGAACCTATTTACAACTTTTTAAAAGATATTCTTATTTAAAATCTTATCACAATTATTACGCGTTTACATATTATTAAAATTATTAATTTTCTATATTATTCAAATTATTACACTTTATATGTCACTAACAATATCATTATTAAAATTATGTTATGTTTGTTGTTTTACTAAAAAATGTTTGAAAATTTCTGCTGTTTACTTTCATATCGTTGTTTCAAAAACTTTTAACCTGGAAAAGTTTGTTAGAAATTATAGGATTTAAAATAAAGTTTGCACATTTTATTTTCGAAATTCTTTATTTATTTGTAAAAGTATTTGCTGTTTAATAGTATCATCAAAATATCCGCGTTGTTATGGTAATAACAATTTTATTTTCGAAATTTTTTATTTATTTTTAAAAGAATTTGCTGCTCAATAGTATCACATAAATGTCCGTGTTTTGGTGTTAACACGGAACCGCCGAATACGGAACGCTAAATATACGTTCTACTGATGCACTGCTAAGAAGTGCTGTATTATTGGGAGTACAAATTAGTTTGGTTCGTTTCCAAAAGATAGCTCCGGCTGTTGTGAATAGTTTATAGTAACAGCTGATTTTGGCGGTTTCAGAGAAGTTAGACATCTGCTAATAATATTTAGTTTATATTGCTTTAAGTTTCATACAAAAACCATGATTTTTACTGTGTTTGAAATGTTGAATTTTGTGTTAATCAAGCAGCATTTGTGGGAGGTTTTAATTTTCTGCTTTACTTGAAAGAAAAGTGCAGCTGAAGCCCATCGAATGTTTGTCGAAGTTTATGGTGACACTGCTCCAACTGATAAATCATGTAGGGAACGGTTTCGACGTTTCAAGGATGAAAATTTCAGCGTTGAAGACAAGCCTCGCTCTGGACAGTCAAACCAATTCGAAGACAAAGACTTGGAGGCAGTACTCGAAGAAGATCAGAGTCAAACGCAAGAGGAGCTTGCAGAATCATTGGAAGTAACTCAACAAGCCCTCTCTGTACGATTGAGAGCCATAGAAATGATTTAAAAACAAGGAAATTGGGTGCCTTATAAACTGAAACCGAGAGACGTTGAAAGGCAATTTTTCACTTGCGAGTTGCTGATTCAAAGGCAACAAAGAAAAGGTTTTTTGCATCAGATTGTGACTGGAAATGAGAAGAGGATATTCTACGACAACCCAAAGAAGAAAAAATACTACGCTAAGCCCGGTCAATCGTTGCCATCGACCTCAACATCAACACCAAAGCCGAACATTCATCCCAGTCAGAAATACCTTGTCGAATCGACGTCGATTCGACGTCGATTATACTAGTCGATCTACGGTTGATCGACGTCGATTTCTGACTGGGCATGTTTCGAAGATCATGCTCTGTATCTGGTGGGACCAAAAGGATGTTGTTTACTATGAGCTGCTGAAACCTGGCGATTTCATTACAGGCGATCTGTATCGGCTACAATTGATTCGTTTGAGCCGTGCATTGCGAGAAAAACGGCCGGAATACGTGCAAAGATGTGATAAAGTTATTCTTCTTTATGACAACGCTCGGCCTCATGTCGCAAAAGTTGTAAAAAAATATTTGAAAAAATGGGATGTTTTACCGCACTTGCCGTATTCTCCGAACATTGCTTCTTCTGAATACTGGTTGTTCCGAAGGATGCAGCACGATTTGGCAGGTCACCGATTCACTTCTTTCGCAGAAATCGAAAATTGGCTCCAAACTTGAATCGCTTCCAAAGACGAGTCATTTTTTCGAGATGGAATTTGAAAATTTTCTGAGAGATGGGAAAAAGTAGTAGCCAGCGATGGAAAATACTTTAATTAATCTGTTCATTCATTTTGTTTTGAACTAAATGCATTTTTGAACACAAAAGAAAACAAACTATTTTGTACTCCCAATGTATTTAATAAAATGTTTTTTTGATTTTTGGGTAATTGTTTAACATTTCTATATTACAATTTTTAGATTTTAGAAAACGTTGCAACTCTTTTTCTTCCAATTCACTTTGGGATATTTTTTGTTGCTCAAAGATAAAAAAATCTTCGTGATCATCAGAGTTTCCAGTTTGTGGAGAACTTTCGGTCGATCGAATTCCTAATAAATCTTCCAAATAACTTTCAGCAAGTTTTTTTTCCATCCAGTTAACCAATTTAACTTAAATTCAGGATATAAACAACTTGCTAGTAATTCTTCGTTTTTAAAAGTTGTTAGAAATCTGAAATTAAATATAAATATACAATCAGGTGACATTGTTTTTTCTACTAAAATACTTTTAAACAAATATTTTAAAATAAAAACAATATTATGTTAATTAAATCTTTATATTTAAAATTAAACATATCAACATATTATTACAAATTAACATATGTATTGAGATTAATGATTTACCTTTTATTTAAACCTTGCTAAATAGCTGAAATCAATGAATGACAATTTATTAGAGTAGATTTACTGAGAGTTTTTAATTTTTGTTGTAGTTAGAACTGATAATAAGTATCCCATATATATTCCTGTATCACCTTGCAAAATATCTAGCACGTGCCAAAGATTCCATTACCTAACTCTAAACTAAGAAAATTATAGATAAGTAGATAGAATAATTGGACCAAGAAATAAATCATTAGTAGTCTTAAGTCATTATTAATTGTTAGAATAATTAGATAACAAACTTAAATAATAAATAGAAATTATGCAAAATGAACCGTTCTAATGTTTCTATTTAAATATTTATATTACTATAATATATGTATATAATATAATTACAAGATATCGTAAAATTTTTATTTGGTTTAATATTTTATTTAATAAAAATTTTATGATAATATTTTATGATAATATTTTATTATAATATTTTGTGATTTACTTTATATAAATTCCATGCATTTTCAGTTTACCTGACAATATTCTTCGAGAAATTTAGTTTCATCATCAGTTAATCTCTGTAAATCGCAATAGTCTAAACATTTATTTATTTTTTCTGTGTCACTTTTTAAAAGCGTTACCAACTGAAGTACTGAATCGAAAGTAGAATTCCACCTTGAAGTAAAAGATAAATAGATTTATAAAGTAATAATTTTTATTATTCTAGAAAAAATTGATTTGCACACAAATATAAGTATAAAAATATCATAACAACTTATTTACCTTGTAACAAGAGTTTTTAAATATACACCATAATATTCTTTAATTTTGTCTGTTACCTGTGTTGATTGGCTTTGTTTACTCCATAATTTCGATAATTTAGCAAATATTGTTCTGTACTTTTTTTTGTATAAAATATTATTATCTAAAGGTTTTTCTGAATCTTTTCACCGCAATGAGATTCAACGTGTGACTAACACATTTATGATATAGTGGAAAAATTATCAAATCTGCAGCATTTGTATCTTCTGTGTCAGCCGTCATTAATAAATCATTTAGATTATGAAATTCTATGGCTTCAAAATCCTCATCTTCATTTTCATCTTTTTCAAAAACTCTGAACAATTTATAAATTTTGCTTAGAAATTAAAACATTTTAATATAAAAATATATTTGCGATATAGAAAAAACTTATAAAGTATTGCAAAACTTCTAGTGCGTGTGTGTTATACATTTATATAACTTTAAATTACCGAAAAGCCTTAACAAAATTTCCGTTATCGGTTGTCGCGCAACATATCTTATTTTGAATATGATACTGTAAAAATACTTAATAAATTGCTTTCGCTAAAGTGTCATATGTATGTTTTCCTTTCATTCTGCAGCAAGCCAGTGCAGCTGATTCTCTACTTAAATTTTCGGAATTAATCCAATGGACTGTTATTCCTGAAAAAACTTCTAAACAACAAAAGTATTTATATTCTTCTCTAACATTAACAAAATATTAAAGGATAAGAAACATATTTAATACATAAAAAATAAAATTGTTAATAAAAAAGTTTGAATAACCTTTTCGCTTTGCTCCACAGATCCTCTGTATATATAGTTGCAACTATTTCAATTTGAGCCAATTTGTTTTCAAGAGCTGTTTTTATTTCAAAATATATTTGATCAAGTTTTGTTCTTAAAGTTTTTCTACACATTATTCGAATAGACGAAGACATTCCAATTCTAACTACAATAAATTGATAAATGCTGGACTGTTTACAATTGACAGAAGCTGAACATCTTCAATAACAAAACGTACTATAGCATCATCTATCATTTTCTAAGTAACTAGAGCACTTCCAGAACTCCATCTTTCTAAACTGTGTTGTCTTTTTTTACCTGGATTTTTTTCATTATCTACGTTACGTCTTTTATAGTTGCCAATTCTGCTTTTACTTCTTCTACTTCTTTTAATTTATATAGACGTTTTGCCTATTAGTTTAATATATATAACTATTAGTATTAAGTAATAAAATATGTTTAATTGATAAAAGAAAACTTTTAAAAAGAGAAAAAAATAAGAAATATATTTGAGAAGAAAATTAATTATCTGACATTTGATACTTTCGCGGTGTGTAGTATTAACATACAAAGATGTTTTTTCGGGTTTGAAGCGCGTTAGTGTCATTTTTATACCGACGTTTCGTGAACATTACAGCTCACTTCATCAGGGTTTAAAGAGCAGCCTGATACTGAGATGCTCTTGGTCAGGTGTCCCTTTTTATAGCGCTAGATTGGAGTGGGAGGGGATGTGGTGGAGGACGGGTGGAATGGTAAGAAGGAGGGGAGGATGTGTTATGGCAAGATGGAATGCCATAGTGAATTAGTCATATGTCCATTGTCTCTAATGAGATTGTTTGGATGTTTGTATATCTCCAGAGATTCCATATACTTTCTAGGGAAGTAAGCCTTAGTTTTGTTTAGTACTTGGGTTTGGTCAAACATAATTTTGTGACCAGTTTCCAAATGGTGTTCTGCTAATGCCGATTGTGAGTAATGTTTTAGACGTACTGCTGACTGATGTTCTTTTAGTCGTGTGCTTATCATTCTACCAGTTT